CCCCCCCTAACTACCCTTCCACCCCGAGGTTACTCCCCTGTCCCCCCACCACAGCCCCCACCTACCCTTCCACCCCGGGGTTCCCCCCGCGCGGCCCCTGGGGGGGCATACCTTCAGACCCCGACTCCTCCAGAAACACGTGCTCCCTGACGAAGCTCAGCAGCTTGCCCTGCAGGATGTGGTCGGGCACAAAGAAGAGCAGCCCCAGGCCGGTGTCCTCGGGCCCCTGGTGGCTCAGGATGAGCAGCAGGTCGCACAGCAGGATGAAGGCCTGAGGGGGTGAGGGGGGGACGGAGCAGCCACAGGGGCGTCATGCCCTGCCTGCCCCCGGCTGCCCCCCAACAGGCTTCCAGGGGTGGGCGACCCAGGGCTGGGCGGGACCCGGAGTACGGGGAGGGGTACGGCAGCCGGCCCCTCGAAGACACCCCCCGCCTCGACCCCACCCTGCCCGTGACACAGGGTCCAACGAGACCAGCACACGGGACGCTTGGTGACGTCGAAAAGCTGCCGTCAGCCAGCAGCGCACAAGGCTGACAGCAGAGTGACGCGTCACACGCAGGCGGGAAAGACAGCCGCACACACGCAGCCTACGGGTAACAGAAAGCCACAGACGCTGCAGACCGGAAACGCAAATACACAACCGTGTGTGACCATCCCTGACACGACACGCACACGCGAAAGAAACCTAGGACACACGTGTGACAAACACAACACACGGACCAGACACGACACGCACGGGACACGATCCAAAGCACACAACGCACACACGAGAAACGCACCACGTGCAGATGACAGACGCGCCCGAACGCACAACACGCGGGCAACGACACACACGGTGAGCGGAAACGTCTGCCACGTGCAGGCTCGCGACCACAACCCGCAGTGACCAGGGGGCGCGGACACACAGCATGACGGGGAGGGGGTCACGAAGGACGGAGCTCGGAGCCCGGAAAGGAGACTCGGGCCCTGCTCCTCGGCCGGCCGCGACACGTATCTGAGACAGCGACGGGGTCGCTCTCACGTGCGCACGTTCGCACGCGCACCAGAAGGAAGCAGCAGGTCGCTGAGCACACACGACAGCACCAAGCGCAGTGGCTTGTCCTGCGTCACGAAGCTGTTAGAACCGCCTCCCCGCAGACGTGACATCGCCCGAAAGACTCTCCGCGTGCAGAAGTTGCCCACACTCGGCGTCCAGGGCCCCACGCAAAACGTGTGTAATGCACGTAACCAGGGGGGCGCACGCACGGGTTTATGCGAACGGGACATTTACGCGCGTTCATGCACCTAAGTGGACGCGTCACCATGCAAGACACGCGGTACGACGTGGAAACACCGCCACCGAAAACACGAACGGGCCCCGATCCGCACGGGCCTCTCTACCGCCCCTCCCCTTGTTTGGCCGTCCCGGGACCCCCGCCCCGTGAGGGTCCCGAGGGACGCACCCACCTTCTCACTCAGCACCTTGCTCTGGTGGCTCAGGTACACGCGGCAGGCCACGCAGAACTTCATCAGCCGCCTCCGCAAGTCCAGGAGCGCGTCCTGCCAGAC